GTTTAGGAGATTAGTAGTTTGTAAAATACAGTCACATTTCAATTACTATACATTATATATGTATATAGATTATTACTATTTAGAAATAAGTTCTCAAATGTATTTTTCTCAAAACATAGAACAGTAACCAAAGAAGTGAAGCAAACAATTATCTCTTCCAGTTACGACCTTTGTACTCGGTTGCTAATCATTTCAAAATTTTGCACATGGAGGATATGAAACAAAATAATTTTTTTAAGGTTTTATATGTACAGTTGAATAACCAAAAAATCATAAATTACTATATCAATACCACAGATTTCCACTATAATTTATCAAGCTTAGTAATTAAACAGTATTTCAGTCTAAAAGATATGAAATTTTGAGCAGACTTAGGACACAACCTATCTCCTTGAAATCTTGGCTTGAAAGAAAAAAATGGCATTCAAACACGTTAAAATGGCTGTGAAAACCACTAGGGGGATATTCTGAGCTTTTCATTGGTTATTCAGGTCATATACAGAAGTAAATGTATATAAGGGAGCATTTCCAAAAATAGAAAGAGGTGGATGGGGTGCCACTGTGTTTGATTTATTACATGAGCAATATTTTAGCAAACTGAAAAGATAAGAGGCTCTTATTTTATATTCTAGCTTGTCAATATCAGTAATTTGAGTTCCTAATTCATACAAAAATACAGACTAAGTATTTTGACATCACAAACATCTAATTTGAATCAATGCTGAATTCAACATACTACATGACACACAAAAATTGATGTTTAACTGTGTTTTTTTAATATGTACTTTTAAATCAAGAAATTGAGTGAAGCATAATACTAAAATTTGATTTATAATCTACAGTTTGATACCAAACTTATTCACATAAATGTATGAAATAGTAGTTCAATAAAATTTTGAATGCAAATCAACAAACGTGATGACATGGCCTTTCACCTGTGACCCATCCCGAAGGGGATAAGGTAGCATTTTCAACAATTTTATCATGACTGAATTCATCTGTAAACAGCTAAAAATATTCATCAAATGTGACAATTTATTAGTTAATTAAACTCTGTCACTTGTCTAATTGTTAACATTTTTTAAAATTAAAAATGTATTTCCAATAATACTTACCTCCAATCACACTACAGCTATTACTCGACTGCTAGGGCTTCCTTCCTTTGCCCATCTAAGCATCGATCTGATTTTTTCTCACTTGCTCCAGTATTTTATTCCCCACTTAATTTTCCTTAGCAATATCTGTTATGTGACACTCTCCACCTACGTCAATGCACTCTCTGTCCTGGTACTGAATATAAGCACCTCATTCAGATAATATTATCACTATTTCAAGACTGAGCCAATCCACAGTCTATAACACTGGCTCTTAGTGGGGAGGAAGGGCAGGAGATAGTGAGTCGAGGTAAGTATTATTGGAAATACATTTTCGATTTAAGAAAACGTTAACTTTCAAAACATACCTCCACTCACACTATAGCTAGAATTCCACATTGATAAGGTTGAGGGGCCAGTGAGGGCATTGTTCATACAAAATGCTTCTGCATAGATTGTGGGTGTGCCAATAGAAGGTAAGCAACACTAAAGTGGACGAACCCTCTCCTCAACCTGAAGAAGTCCGTACGGCAACACTCCAAACTTGGAATGATGAGATCCTATATGCCATACTTAACCTGAGGAAACAGAACTCATCCAGTCTGGAATTATGGAGAGGATGTGGAACAAACTGTGCTAAACCAGGGACCCAGGATGGAACCACTCTGTGTTCAGAATTATGAGGAAACAATGGACTCTCTTCCATGAACAATGTACTTAACTGATATTGATCAAAAAGAAGAGCCACACTCAACCCAACCAGGTAGCAGAGCATCAAATTTGAACTGGTACCAACATCTTGGAAAAAACATTCAGGGACCTGGGTAGGAGGGCCCCCAACTTCACCCTCTTCTTAAAGAGTGTAGGAAAGTTACTTGACACTCTGGAGGAATAGCCTCTGTCCACCACCCCAACAACTGGAAACTGGATGTGGTAAGGACTCCCTAGCTCCACTGGTAGGAAACGAGGGGGGTAACATGCTTGGAGAAGCCTCAAGGAACAATGCTCTGGCAACAGTGCAATAGGTGAACCAAGTTTCCTAAATTTTTAAAAGCAAACCGACCCTGATTTATTCAATTTCATGATTGGCAGAGAGGGGCGGAACCCACTTATGCTTTACTCATGACAGTCCATGAGTAGCAGTCCAGCTTAATACAGTAATACCCCCTGGCCTTATGGAACACTCCATTACTACAGAGCCTGTTGCAACCAAGATAAAGTATATTGTGTTTGTGGTTGCTAGTGTGGAAGTGGTTTGGTAAAAGCACACCTGCCTGGGCAACACTCACCAAAGAGTGGGATCCTGTGAAAAAGGAGTAAGGGACCCTGGAAAATTGAGACAATATTAGTTATGAAGATACTTACATCTCCTTATAATCTAATGGATGTGGTTAAGATAGCTACTGGAAGTAATTGAAAAACTCTCAGAGGAAGATACTTGCCAGATCATGCAAATAATGTGAGATAAAAGTATTACAGGAGGTCCACATACCAATTTGTGCAATGTCTTCAAGCTGGCAATTCAACCGAGTCACCACAGACATAGAAATGTGACAAATCTGAAAAGACATGACTCACAGAAGACTCCTCACCTCCAAAGAGAGCCTAGAATAAGCGATAGGTATCAATTTCCATACCCAACTCGACAAGGTAACTGGGGAGAAATCATGGGAAACTCAAGGATCCCAGTGAATAAAAAGTCATTGTCTAGCATCTCTAAAGGCATTAGTGTGGGGAACATAACAGTTCAAGATCCTCATTTGACGTAATAAAAAACGATCGAGATCTGATTGCTCATAGAAATGAGAAATAATAGTCAGATGATTTGGTGGAAAGGATTTGTCTCCTTCCCTGGCTGCCAGTGTCTTAGGGAAGAAGAACCTGCCTGAGAACGTAAGTAGAATGATAAAGCATCCTGTGCACAATCAGTGCAAACAACTCCTACCAGTGACGTCTGTAGGTCAGCAGAAATGAAAATTAAACCTTCAATGAACAATGATACAAGATACATGAGGTTAAGGTCTCAAACAGATGTTGAGAAAGGGATGTAATTCCATGTTAGGTAACCGAAACAATCATTTGGGATGAAGGACCCAAAACGAGGTGAGGAGGCCGGAGAATACTGGGGACTCAAATAATTTTTGTCTCGAGAATCTAAGGTAGCCAATAGGGCAATTGTGGAAGATACAAAACCATTATCAAAGAGCCAGGTGGGTTGAACTTGCTCTCAATACACCATTGCCGATATGTTTGCCATTTCTGTTAATAAATATCCATTGTAGGATTAAGCAAAGACTGAGGGAGATACATGGCAACTTTAGAAATTAAACCCCAATGTGATGCAAAGGTCCACATAACCTCTGTGCCTGAAGCTTGAGCTTCAGGATGGCTGGGTGTATGGTGTCAGATCATGGCTGCCTCAACAGAGGCCAAAGAGGAAGTGGAAGAGGTGGGCACTCCTGAAGGTACTGCAGAAGCAGAAATCAGAGTTTAGCTGCCAATCCAATGCTATCAACAGGACCCAACAGTGGGTTAGAATGAATCAGACACCACCATGGAACTGTTTAAGTTTGACCTGATGATTTTCCTCTTAACACTATTGCCCTGGGTATCCTTTACTGTGCATGACACAAGGTTTTAGTGTCTTACATTCAAAATTATATTAAACTACATTTTGTTTAAGTTATATCAATTAGAATAGCATAAAATCTTAGCTAATAATCCATATTTTAATAGTATACAAGTTTTAAGTTAATTCTAGAAGGCAACATTTAAACAAAAACCTCATTTTCCACGTGACACATTTCCTCTTAGTATGTCATCATTCCTATTTTATCCACCATCCCTCGATATAGTACGAAATTAAAAGTAAAATACTCTTTATAAAATTGTTATTGCTCAAACAAACCATA